TTAGACACAAATGGAACATAAGCACGAAATGAAAAGAATTTTATTCAGTTAAAACAGTGCTGAAGAACTCTTGAGTATTTCAGACATTATTAAAATTTTGAAATTCCTCTCGACAGTTTCATTAACCTCACACAAACTAAACTTACAACGAATACGCATGCTTGCGTAAGTGTGTTCTTACAAGATGTCTCGGAACCAGCTGAATGCTGACATCTACGGCCCTAGACACTTTATATATACCATTTATCTGCTTAGCTGTTGAGTCCGTTTAGTTATTAAGATATATTTTTATTAAGCATGTGTCGTGTTAAAACAAACCTTAAACATTCGTCATCATAAAACAAACTCTAAACATGAGTCACCATAAAACAAACCCTAAACATGCGTCACCATAAAACAAACCCTAAGCATGCGTCACCATAAAACAAACCCTAAGCATGCGTCACCATAAAACAAACCATAAGCATGCATCACCATAAAACAAACCCTAAGCGTGCGTCATCATAAAACAAACCCTAAACGTGCGTCATCATAAAACAAACCCTAAGCATTCGTCATTATAAAACAAATCCTAAGCATGCGTCATCATAAACAAACCCTAAGCATACGTCACCATAAAACAAACCCTGAACATGCGTCACCGTATAACAAACCCTAAACATGCGTCACCATATAACAAACCCTAAACATGCGTCGTATAAAAGCAAATCCAGTAGATCTTAGACACGGATATAGAGAAACTAGAAAAGGCAGAAACCACCCATACCTGTACCTCTACCTGAGTAAGAAGTAACTATAGTGTTAGGAAACATATTAGCAACCAAAGGCTGGTGTGTAACGAAAGTAAATCTCATAATCGTCTCTGAGATTTTTAACACCATTTATCACTATATTGGAAACAGTTCCTTTATTTAATGAAAACAAGATAGAAAATAACTAAAGTAGACAAAAAAAAGAACTACAGAAACTTAACTCACATTCTATTAGATATTTTCCTAGTACTTTTTCAAGATATAAGTTTGTTATTTTAGCACAAAGGTACACAATAGGCTTTCTGAACTGTGTCTGCCGCGGGGATTTGACCTGGAATTTTAACTTTTAAACCTTCAATCTTCTTGCTGAGCCGCGGGGGGGGGGGTTCAACATATAAAATGAGAGGTAACGATTAGAGAATACGGTCATAGAAACTTTTTTCAACAGAATCCACCGTAAATTCTCTGGATACTTTTTTCTGAACGAATACTTGAGTTTGACTGTCACACTTATAGCGCATTTTTACGGCAACGGGCTACGATCCATGAGCCGTCGGATTCACAGTCCGAGTATACTAGCCACTGGACCACGACCGGTCAAGAAAAAAAAAGAGGAGATATATGTTACGTTAGCGAAATAGTTCAAGATTTAGATGTGATTTTTCAATTCGATAATCAACTGTCGTTTTCTTTGTTAAAAGTTAATTAATAAAAAAAATGGTAACTAAAAATGAATTTTAGGTTTTTCTCAAATGGTAATTTTTATACATTATATAGTTTAGATGTAAAACATAACATGTAGAGCAAAAAATATCAAATGAGCTACTCTGAAATAATTTCATGAAACTTGGTTATATATTTTTAAACTTAGATATGCTGAAGTAACTTCATGAAACTTAGTTATATATTTTTAATCTTAGATATACTGAAGTAATTTCATGAAATTTAGTTTTATATTCTTAAACTTAGATATGCTGAAGTAATTTCATGAAATTTAGTTTTATATTTTTAAACTTAGATATGCTGAAGTAATTTCATGAAACTTAGTTTTATATTTTTAAACTTAGATATGCTGAAGTAATTTCATGAAATTTAGTTTTATATTTTTAAACTTAGATATGCTGAAGTAATTTCATGAAACTTAATTTTATATTTTTAAACTTAGATATGCTGAAGTAACTTCATAAGACTTAGTTTTATATTTTTAAACTTAGATATGCTGAAGTAACTTCATAAAACTTAGTTTTATGGTGTTAAACTTATAGATATTGAGGAAACAATCAATTATTTTTATTCATTAATCGGCGCAGAATATTCTTTATAACGACTGATCTGCGCAGAATATACTTTCGTATAATATTTTTAAAATGTTATATCGTATTTTAAACAAAATTACAGAACCCACAACAAAGTTCGTTAAACTTGAATTAATTTTCAAAGCGTTAGAGTAAGGAGATAAAAAGTAAAGACTTGAATCAAAAAATAAAACATTCATTTTTGATTATAAGAGTATGACCACGTTCTAGAAAAGAAGATAAAAACGTTAATAGCATTTACAACAAATTGAAAAATGTCTCATCCAGGACCCGAGAAAATCGTGGTTATCTTACATAAATATAAACTAAGAACTAAGGTGTCTACCTATATGTATATATTCGTAACCCATTACAGATACAAGTTAAAAACACTTTTAATTGATTATATTATGATTTTACCACCTTATAAAATTCCATTTACACATTCAACACATATAATTGTCTTCAATAAAAGCGGACAAAAATGATATTTTTTTTCTCCACTTTTACTAAGATACAAATAATGTTTTGTAGCCTTCGCGTCTGTAATGTTTAAAATATTTTACAATTAATTTAAGATGTGAGAGCTTAATTTACACCAAATGATTCTAATTTGATTTTCAAAATAACTAGAACGAAATATCATTATCATATATTTTCGTTTGTGATCTAATGCAATACATCTGTGTTTGACGCACTGAAAAAAAAAGGGACGTAATTAATTGCCCATATATTAATTTAATTTCTAAGACGCCTCTTCCCATTTTTATAAGCATTACTTAATTGAGATTTAGAAGACATGATTATCTTTCTCTAACGTAATTACGCTCTTACAGAGACCCTGGAGTTGCACGATGGGTTTGTAGAAGACTCTTTAACAAGGTTAAATGTACCTAAGGTTATTTCGCGTGCCCAGGCTGAATGCGAACTGTTACAGCACGTACTGTTGCTGTAAAAACGCACTCCACTCTTTGAGACTGTGAATACGTTATAAAAGTGACTGTGAAATTCCCCTGTTCGATCAAATGAGAGTAGTTCGAGAGTTGACGGTGTGTATTGTTGACTAGCTGCCTTCTCTTTAATCTATCAGCTCAAAATAAGGGATGGCACACCCACAAACCCAGCATTGAGATGAAGGTCACAAACCTTTGGGTTCACAGTCACTAACCGATAGGCCACACTCAGCTAAGTACTGCTGATAAATGTATTTATAAAGCCATTAGTTTACGACTAGTGAAGATAGCTGTTACATTTAAAGTACTGTTGATAAATGTTTTTATAAAGCGTACGGCTAGTGAAGACAGCTATTACATTTAAAGTACTGTAAATAAATGTATTTATAAAGCTATTATTGAACAGCTACTGAAGACAGCTATTACATTTAAAGTACTGTTGATATATGTATTTATAAAGTTATTGGTGTACGGATACTGAAGACAGCTATTACATTTAAAGTACTGTTGATATATGTATTTATAAAGCTATTAGTGTACGGATACTGAAGACAGCTATTACATTTAAAGTACTGTTGATAAGTGTTTTTATAAAGCTATTAGTGTACGACTAGTGAAGACAGCTATTACATTTAAAGTACTGTTGATATATGTATTTATAAAGTTATTGGTGTACGGATACTGAAGACAGCTATTACATTGAAAGTACTGTTGATAAGTGTTTTTATAAAGCGTACGACTAGTGAATACAGCTATTACATTTAAAGTACTGTTGATATATGTATTTATAAAGTTAGTGTGTACGGATACTGAAGACAGCTATTACATTTAAAGTACTGTTGATAAGTGTTTTTATAAAGCGTACGACTAGTGAATACAGCTATTACATTTAAAGTACTGTTGATATATGTATTTATAAAGTTAGTGTGTACGGATACTGAAGACAGCTATTACATTTAAAGTACTGTTGATAAGGGTTTTTATAAAGCTATTCTTGACCAGCTACTGAAGACAGCTATTACATTTAAAGTACTGTTGATAAGTGTTTTTATAAAGCTATTACTGAACAGCTACCGAAAACAGCTATTACATTTAAAGTACTGTTGATAAGTGTTTTTATAAAGCTATTATTGACCAGCTACTGAAGACAGCTATTACATTTAAAGTACTGTTAATAAGTGTTTTTATAAAGCTATTATTGAACAGCTACCGAAAACAGCTATTACATTTAAAGTACTGTTGATAAATGGTTTTATAAAGTTATTATTGTACAGCTACTGAAGACAGCTATAAAATTTAGTAGTGCTCATTTAGCAAATATCCTAGACTTTGAACATGTGTTGCCATATAAATACATTTTCTCCAGAACCTTCCTGGTCTATTCCTACTATACAAAATGTAACAGTAATTCACGTGAATGACACGAGTCCTGATTCATCATTCTGTTTAATATTTATCTCTCCTTACAATACCCTACGTTCTAAATTGGATGCCCCCCAGTAGCACAGCGGTATGTCTGCGGACTTACAACGCTAGAATCCGGGTTTCGATACCCGTGGTGGGCAGAGCACAGATAGCCCAATGTGTAGCTTTGTGCTTAACTTCAAACAAACAATCTAAATTGGATAATTGTGTTTTGTTTTCTAGTGAATAGAGCTTATTATAAACGGTCTAATTGTTGCTGGAGTAAAACCATTTTTGGAGTTCCCAAGGTAAAAATCAAATAAAAAACGGTGTTTTCGTTAATCAATGTTCTTAAAGACCCTACTTCAAGGTTTTCTCCGTGCATCGTCGTCTGCTCACGATCGCTCGCGCGTTCAACGAAAGCGTCATCTGGGACAAACGAACAACTACATTCAAGTACTGGATGGAAAATGACAAGTTAATTCAGATATTTCTCTTTGACAATCTCTATCAGTGTCAAAATTATACATACACATATCTGTGGCTGAAAATAAACATAGAGTGGAAAAATATATACTGTAAGATCTGCAACTTACCTCCCTTTCTAACGCAATCCAACCCGAGAGAGAGAGAATCGTTCTGACGTACTTACATCACCGATGGTTACTTAAAAGTATTTTCGTCTGTTACGGCCTATCAGCTAGTAGTGTCCTCTACTGTATAAAAGTGGTACTAAAATAGAGGCGGGAGGCGGAGAACACGGATGAAAGAATGTAAACAAAATATAAGCTTTTTTTCTACGTTTTGTAAGTATGAACAAAATAGGCTGTGTTCAAATCTATATTAATCTAATGTTTCTACTGGTTTGGTTAGTTTTAGATTTCACCATTAAACTCCACATTAAAATAGCTCATAAAAAAAAGCCCGAAATATAAGATTGTAGAAAAAAAGAAACAAATTGAAGTCGTTAGTAGAATTGAAAAATATAACTATTTAGACTGCTACAAATAAAACTACTTACAAGGCAGGTTATTTTTAATTCCATGTTTAGTTAAGGTTTTTATTGGGTTTGTTAGAGTGTAATTTCACACTTAATGTCGGGTAAAGAACACAGACACACATACAAAACCGTAAAAAGGGATGAAGAGTATATTTGCAAAACGTAGAAACGAAAGAAACTAGCAAGAAGAACCGTTCATGAACAATAAGTAAGCTTCAATAATACATATTATCGTTTGGATCATAACAGTGAATCGTATTGTCATCACATAAAGTATTGTGTTTAAAATTATTTATATAGGTTATTTATAAAAACATCTCGTCCGCCGGTGGGACAGCAGTAAGTTACGGACTTATAACGCTAAAATCCGGGGTTCAGTTCCCCGCGATGGACATAATAGCCCAATGTGGCTTTGCTCTAAAATAACATCAAATAAGTCTAAGTTGACTATTCACCTTAGCCAGTTGTATCCAACCTTTGTTGTTTTAAGCTCTGAAAGATATTTAACCAATTTTCAGGTTTTAACGAAACCCGAAACTCACACCATCAAATATGAGTTGCTTAAAATGTGTGTTATTAATATTTACCTTAACGTACTTTCATAACATAATGTATAGCGTTATTATGAAATATATCTTTCAAGTTACATATAAATCGGGTAGCGGTTAGTCTTCCGACTTACAATGCTAAAATCTAGAGTTCGATTCCCCTCGGTGGACACAGCAGATAGCCCGATGTGGCATTGCTATAAGAAAAATACATATACATATAAATCGGGCTTAAAGTACGTAACAATAGAACAAAACCATTAAATTCCTTAACATACTTTGCACTCACTGGCTGATAATTTTTAGATCATACAGCATCAAAATGTATACAGTATGTTAATGTAAGAACTGCGGAAATAATGGGATCTATATCTTTAAAGACACGATACTAAATAATACTGTATCATATTCTTCTTACACTTTATTTTATTTTTGTTGTTTTTTAATATCTCACTTTTTTGTTCTGGCACAAATATCTCACAAGTTTTTATTTTTGTCGTTGTTTGTTATTAAGCGCAAAACTATACAAAGGGATATCTGTGCTCTGCCCACCACGGGTATCGAAACTCGATTTCTAGCGGTATAAGTCTGCAGACATACCGCTGTGCTACTTGGGAGTACACGAGTTTTCATCTCTCATATAGTACCAGCTACTAAGATTCGATGACGAGGAACCCACTTTGAGACTAATAATGGCTGGAGACGGCTTGAATGGGTAATGAAGAAAAACTTTAATACAACAGCAAATGTACAACGTTTCGACAAAGGTTTTGTGGTGAAAAAAACTTTTCGGAAAGGTGTTTATTTTCTTTTTTTTTTAAGTTTTTTTTTTTTTTCCCTT